GCCGAGCCGAGCCGAGCCGAGCGGCCGGGCCGAGCCGAGCCGAGCCGAGCCAAGCCGAGCTTAGCGGCCGAGCCGAGCCGAGCCGAGCCGAGCCCGAACGAGCGCAGCCGCCTGAGGCGGTGGCGGCGAGTGGCTCCTGCGCCCGCCAATCAGCAGCATCAACCAGTCAGCGGCGCCCTGGCTCCTCGCTCCGCCTTTCGGCCCGCCCCGCCGCTTGACGCTCTCGTCAGAGCTGGACTCTGTGAGGCGAGGCCGGGAGGGGCCGGGCGAGGCAGACGCTAGTGGGGCGGGGCAGGGGCGGGGCGGGGGCGGGGCGGGGCCGGGCCTGGAGGTCTCCAGCTCCGCGGTCCTCACCCCCGCCCTCCTCCCGCCGGCGCCGGGACCCCGCCCCGCCTGCAGCGCTCCCGCGGCGGAGCCGGGGTCCCGGAGGCTCCTCTCGGGTTGTTGCTGCGGCGGGGCCCCCGGCGCCCCCCGTCCCCCTGGCCCCTCCCGGCCCCGCCGCGCCGTCCGTGTTGGCCGGGATCACCGCGGTCGGAAGTCTCTCGCCCCCTCCCCTGTCCCGGGAGGGGCGGCGCCGCGGGCGGCGAGCGGCCGAGCGGTGACCTTGCGCCTCCCGCGGCCGCGCCCCGCTGGCCCCCGCTGCATTCGTCGGGGTGTCCGCGGCTACCAGCACAGCGCGGTCAAGGAACTCACCCAGAGTCACACAGCGGCGCTCCCCACTCCCCCCTTCCCCGCCCCGGCGGCTCCCGGGCCTCTGCGCGGGCGGCCTTCCGCGGCTCGGCGGCTGGGCCGGGGCTCACTGGCCCCGACGGCTCCGCAGAGGCGTCTGCAGGGGCCGCCGGACGTGGAGGCCCCGATTCTCTCTCAAAGACGCTGGCGCGGCAGAGGGTAGGGGCGGGGGACCCGGGGCCGCAGCCTCGGGGCCGCGGCCGGGCCCCCGGGCCGAGGCGCTGGTCTGCGCAGGGCGCGCCTGCGGCCGGTGTGCTGCGCGCTCCCCGCCAGGCACCGCCAGCGGCCCCCAGTCCATCGGGACCAGCCCCCGCTCCTGCCCACCCTGCGGGGAGGGCTCTGAGGACGCTGCGAACTCCCGGACCTTTCCAGCGCCCGCCGGGGCTGGGGGGCCGGCGGGGCTGTTCCCACGCTCCCTCCCCTTTCCCAGCTCGGCCGGGGGACACCGCGCTTCGCGCTCTGCCCCGCTAGGCTGCGCGCGAACCAGGTTCTGTGCTAAGTGCCTGGGCCTGGAAAGGTGTGCAG